ACAAATAAATAGTTTCGGAAATCCAACATTTCCAAGACATAACCTAAAAAAATAGTTTCTTTTTCATTTCGTTCAACATATTCTTTGAACATCGACCAATAATCTTATTCAATCCAAAAATTTGATAAACAATAAATCAACTTTAATTAGTGTCCTATCCTATATTAAATAATCCCATTGTATATGAACCTAACAATAATGTCGAATATTTTACGATACAACACACACCTACACAGTACAATATAATAATAATATAATAAAAAGAAAAAAGAAAAAAGATTATTGAGCAATATAAAATCTCATAGAAGAATTATACAAAAGTTACAGTTTTTGAAACGTTTGGTAATCCTGGTCTTCCATTTGACGTCGCTGTCCCTGGCAGTTTACTTGCGACCTGCTGAGTTGGATGCTGTTCTTCTTAAATGGCCGGAGGAGATAACGGAGATGGCACGCATCGCGGCTGAGTGTATCACCGTTCTTGGAGTACTCAGTTACATTCTCGTTCAGCTAGGCGGGGAAATGATCAACGTTGGCTTGCTATCCTTTCTCAAGCAACTGGTATTAGAAACAAAAAAAGAAAAAAAGAAAAAAATATAAAGAAAAAATGACAGATAAGACAAAAGTAGTGGTAGAAGGAAAGAGAACAAAAATAGAGGAGGAAAAGATATCATCTTCTTTAATCTCGCGAAACGTTTTCTAACATTTCTTGATCGCGAAATAGCTAGTATACCCTGTTGGCTCGCAACTTGATAGTAGAGGATGACGAGGAAAAGGAGAGGGGTTGGGAAGGAGGGAGAAGGATCCGGGTATAAACAAGAAATGTTACGCAAACGGTTGGTCAACGAACTGTAACCAGTCACGAGAGATGCACCCGTTGATATATTACCACAAAGAAAATTTTCGTATATAAGAGTTACCGTGATCATGACGATAATAATCATGATTATGGTAATGATCTAATCCTTAACTATATATATATACTTTCCTATTATATTCCTTCCTCTATTTTTTTTTCTTTTTTATTTACATTGTTTCTTTTCGTTTCGTTCGTTCATTCAATTCGCGTTTAAATTTGTTAAGCGTTTATTATTATTCATTAAAATGATGTATATCAATGTATCAATGTATCAATGTATGAATTTTGAATTTCAGACGCACGAGCCAGCTAAATTGATCTTCGTGATAAGCAATTTGTTGATACTTGCTTGCATACCATGTCGTTTTGCTGGAGATCGGGACGCCGAGGACGCCATCTTGGTTGTCGCTGTACCTGGTTCTTGGTTTCTTCTTATGTTTTTTGCTGGGTATGTTAAGAAAAGGGTAGCAGGTAAACCTTATTTAATTTAGGGTTTACTTCAGGGACGCGACCCTGCCCACGTGAGCCATGATTCTCTCCCATATCCAATTAAATCGAGAGAAATCATGTCCTAACCTATAATCCCTCTTGCAGCATTTCCTAACTACAATAATAACTAATAATGATGATAATGATGATGATGATGATGATGATAATGATGTTCATAGAACGTCTTGTTTTTATTGAAATCATTTTTTTGATCATTAATCAAAGTATTGGTAAAGAGTTAATTATTATTTAATCAGTTACCTTTGTGGAGTTGAGTTTTAACACTAAACTTATCGATGTTTCGTGTATTAACCTATTCTATTTATTTCATAGTTATTAAAAATGATACGTTTTCAAAAAGTTATGTATTTTGTTAAGAAAAAATATACCATTTGTGTAATAAGATTTGTTGACTCACAAAATGGCGCATTATGAATCGTAAGAAAATTTGTAAGAAAATTTAAATGGGGTCGTTTGATTTTAACGTTGAAAATCTTTCACGGGATGCATAATTAAAATCAAGCAATGATGAATAGTATACACCTCGAACGCGGGTAAATAAACAATTAATCGTTGAAAATATTATTGTTGTTTTAAATTGAAAAATTGTTAAAATAATGTTCACAAATTCATAAAGATAAAAGAATAAAGGGAAAAGAATAATGGGAAGAAATTCAGTTGATTTCAGTGTTGTAGTTTTGAAAGCACAGTATATACCACATAAAGTGGCACTTGGCAGGTCATGGCACCAGTATCGTGACATCTTACGGATTTCATTTCTTGAGCAGATAACACATCTTCCAAGTGGTTTTCCTGTTTATTGTAAGGAGTAGTTTTATTGATAATATAAATGAAACATAAAACATATTTTAATATATTTAAATTTAATTAATTTATAAACAAATAACATATTTTAATTATTACTTATTGAAATTAAAAATTTGTTTTTTTATAGTAAATTGCAATTGTTTAATTTAAACGACGAGTATACACGTCAACTGTATCGAAATTAAATTTTGGATCGACTTGTATATACTTCGAACGCAGTTAACTTATTACATTCACCTAGGCATACTTTTTAATTCTACTCTGATTTGTAGTACAGTGGACTCCTGCATAACGTGGTTAATATGTTACGCGTTCTATGAATTCGTGCTATAAGAAATTACGTTTTATGAAAATTAATCTCGTATATAATGCAATTATATCTTTCTTACCTTTTTATATAATTATTATATTAAATTAATTAGTTAAAATAATT